GCCGCCCCCGCCGCCACCGCCGGCGCCGCCGGCGTTACCGTTGTTGGCGCCTACGTACGTCGGCCTCGGTCCATTCGTGTTCTGAAAATCAGAAGAGCCTCGGTCAAACTTGGTCTCGTTCCGCGCAATCGGAGTAATTGCGCGCGCCTCGCCTGTTTTTGTTCACGCGAGAAAACGTGTGTTTGCCACCGCGAACAATTGTACGGAGCAATTGGCCTTTCGCCGTTCAGTGTAAGGAGAAATGCTTCTAAGCACACCAACGTTTGCTATACGAGCAAATATAAATAAGTGTCAATTGTACAAGAATACTAATTGCTTGAGAATAACGCGAATATTCCATTACCTTACGATCGCAAAAAGTTCGCAATAGCGACGAGAGATTCGAGAAACACGGCGGTTTCGTAGCAAAACCGCTGGGACGCAAAGAGTGAATGGAATTTAAATGTTTCATTGAGCGTATCATTCTGTTTTCTCACTCGTTCCAGACGAGATCGCAGGCTCTGGCGACATTGAAAGCATTTGCATTTACGAGTTCTGTGTGGAAAAAAAATGCACGTCTTGAAACGGTAATTTTGAGAATACATGAAAGAAAGTGGACAAGAGTTAGCTTAGCAAAAGCGTCTAGACAGTTTAGCCTTTTAGCAATGGTCGACAATTAAGAGAGGAGAGATAAACGTAACGTGTATTATCAGTTCTGGTGCAATGCCGCCGTTCGAAACGGCTTGTTGGGAACGTCAAGTGCGCTTATCAGTGAATTCTCTTGTTTGAGATTCAACAGTTGGACGACGATGCGCTCTTATCGCGTAATAAAGTCGATCGGTCATCGTTACCGCGTTAAATTCTCTTAAAAAAAAAAACAAGCCCTCCTCAGTTTATCGCTCTTAAAATAATTGTCGCTGCTTTCATGACCAATTATCAGGGGCGACAATTTTACGGGCGTGAACGCAAACGTTCCTTCGTGGGTGAAAAGAAACGATTTACTGAAAAATAAGCGAAAGAAGAAGCAGCAGCAAGTTGCTGAATTTCCTGAAACTTTTCCTTCGACCGAAGGAAAATGAAGCGCTCGGACAAAAATAATTCCTCGGTGGTTTAAATATAAACCTGATTTAAAATAAAGAAGGCGCGTAAAATTGAAGATGTAAAAAAATTCATCGTCGCGATTAATTGAAAAATAAAAGGAAGAAGCCATTCGCCTTCGATTTTTCCGTCTCTCGCGTCACAGTCCATCGCTGCTGCGGTGACCGGACCTTTAATATCGATGCAACCATTGCGTCAGTCTCTATCGATTTTCTCGAGCGAAACGGCGTACTATTTTAGAAAGCGATCGCGTTTCGCCGGCCCCGTAGTTTCCCGCACACGTCGGTGTGCACGTCGATAAGAAGAGAGAAAGAGGGAGAGGGAGAGTGAGAGACCCTACCCGTTATCGTTTATCAGTGACCTCGCGCGGTCACGCCTCCCGATAACGAGGAAGAACGGCCGTTCGGTCTCTATCTCGCCCAGCCTCTTCGTCTTCGAATGCCTGATTCTCGCGACGGTGCGGGATGCACCTTTCTAACAGCATTCAGAAGCGCCCGTATCGATCCCGTATCTATCGACGCCGCCGGTCGTCGCTTATCGCGCAACTTTCCCATTTTCAACATTGCGTGTCTCGGCGCAAAACTTCCACCGGGGCGAGATCCACGTGAAAGCAACCGAGGAAGAAATGTGATTTTATCATTTCGTTTGCGCTCCCCCGAAGAGCCCGCGCTCCTCAAGCAGCTCCGCGTCGTCGTAATCGATCGCTCGGAGGCCGCGCGGCTCGCCTTTTCCGCGGAGGAAGGCAGAGAACGATCCGTAAACCCTCGAGTCTGTCTTAGGCCCGGTTTCACCAACGTCGCTTAAGCTCGGTAACTTTAAGCTCCAACTGTTAACACTGGAAAGGGACAAACCTGAATTAAACCGAGATTAAAATTGAGCGACGTTTGGTGAAACCGGGCCTTAGTCGTAAACGTAAGGCATGTACAAGAGACTTTCACGACTTGAGTTTTTTTCTCTGCCTTGCCCCACGTCTAAGACGTGAGATTTAAGAAAGTGACCAATCACAATCGAATGTAAGGAGAACCATCGACTGCGATTGGTCACTTTCTTAAATCTTACGTCTTAAAAGACAGACTAAGCGTTTGCGGATCGTCTTCTGCCACCAGCAGGGAAGAGATCGGCCGAAGAATCCGCGGTTCAAAGTGCGCTCGACGAGGAACACCCTATGTGTACAGGGTGTTCCAGGAAGAAGGATCGATATTCTGGGAGATGACAGTATCGGTCTTTTTAAGCAAAAATGTTCATATAGATATACGCCCCATTCCCCACTGTTTCCGAGATAGAGCTATTTAAGGGGTGCTGGAGTGATTCTGCACTTTTGCACCTTAAATGTGCAGTTGCAACATTACCGCCAAGAAAGAAATACCACGTATTACTTCTAATATTGATTGTTCAAGTGATACATTTTTACAGATTACAATAAATTTTCAAAAACTCCACCGCTAACAACAATGTTCTACTCTTGTGTGAACATGGCGTGTTGCTCGTCTGACTACACCGTGACGTTCCTTTCTATTTTGAACATCTCTACAATGTTATCAGCGCAACAGTCAACAGACATATAAAGCTAAGACTCCATAGATGCGTTGAGCTGCGGCAACGCGTGCGGCAACGCAATGCGTTCGACTCTATTGGTGCGTTAAGCAATCGTGACACCGCATTGACGGAATGAACACTAACCTCAAAATAGTACAGGACAGGATCTTACAT